GAGGGTTCCAAAAGGCTCCCAAGACGGCGCAAGAAGGCCTCGAGTTGTCCAATACGGCCCAGAAAGGCCCCAAGACGCTACACGAAGGCTCCCAGAGCACTCCCAAGAGGGCCTACAGAGGCCAAAATCATTCAGTTCCGATGGGGGAACTTACATTTTAAGCATGTGCGCCTTTGCAGCTTTCACGGCTGTGAAGACGGTCCAAGAGGCTCCCAATACTCCCTCAACACTGCCCCGGAGGATCCCATGAGGCCCCCAGGCGGACCAAGAGGGCGCCTATGCGGCCCAATAGGCGCCCCAAACGGCCCAAGTTGGCCCCAAGACGGCGCCCAAGACGGCCCAAGAAGGCCCAGAGTCGCCCAAGACGGTCCAAGACGGCCCCGAGACGGTCCTAGAAGGCTCCGAGACGTCCCAAGAGGCCTGCCAGAGCACTCCCAAGAGGCCTCCAAGAGGCCAAAATCGTCAATTCACATGGGGAACCGTACATTTTTAGCATGTGCGACGCTTCGGCATTCACGGGCTTGAAGACGGCCCAACAAGCTCCGAAGACTTGCCCAAGAGTGCCTAAGACAGTCCCAAGAGGCCCTCAAGACAGACCAAGAGGGGGCCAATACGGCCCAAGGGCTGCACAAGACGGCCCAAGTTAGCCCCAAAACGGGCCCAAGAAGGCCGAAGAAGGCCCCGAGTCGCCCAAGACGACCCAAGATGGCCCCGAGACGGTCGAAGAAGGCTCCGAGACGTCCCAAAAGGTCTGCCAGAGCACTCCCAAGAGGGCCCCAAGAGGCCAACCTTGTTAAATTCCGATAGGAAAATGTACGCTTTCAGCATCAACGTTTTTGCAGCCTCCACGGCTTTGAAGACGGTCCAAGAGACTCCCAATTCTCCCCCAAGACGGCCCCGGAGGATCCCATGAGGCCCTCAAGGGCGCTCAAGAGGGCGCCTAGACGACCCAAGGCCCGACTAAGACGGCTGCAGGAGGGGTCCAAGAGGGGAACTCCGACTCGAGGATTGTAGCCTTCCGCCCAAAGCACCTCCCAGGAGGCCCCAAGAGGTTCCCAAGAGACCCCCGGGGGTCGAGGTCCGAGGGGTTTCCTGCTGGCGGGGCGGGGGACAAAGGCGAGAAGTAACGAGAGTTTGTACGCGGCCATTTTGGCCCAAGCGTCCGGCCGCCAATATGACCGTGTGGCGTTGCGACACGCTACCAAGCATCGATACGGAAAAGGTTCAACCCTTTACTCTTGAGATGCTACCCTCCTGCCGCTTACGCGGTCATCTCTTCTCTCTTGCCTTATTGCTACCGCGATACGACACACCGAGTAAGTGGCTACGTCTAAGTCGCAGTAGATGGTCAGGCCTACCACCTCACTGTAAAGTAACAGGCCTCCACGAGGGCGCCGAGACGGCCCAGGGACGCCTTGCCGTGGGCACGAGGCGGGGCCCAGGACTGGGCCTTCGGGCCAGAGGCCCCGGGGGCCCTGCCGTGGCGTCGGGGCTTCTTTAAAATCGCCCGGAGACGGGCTCGGATCGTCAGGCAGACCGCGAAACGACCATTGACGGCCCGAGATCACAGCAGAATGCCCCTGATTTTGCAAGAGGCCTCCAAGACGCTCCAAGAGGCTTCCAAGATGCCTCCCAAGAAACCCCAGGAGGCACAAATAATTGACTTCCTTGTGGTTGTTGGATTTTTCGACTTCTCGCCTTTTCAGTTTCCCGACGCTCCACGACGGCCCAAGAGGCGCCAATGTCCGCTCCAAGACAGCCACAGAGGCGTCGAAGACGGCCACAAGACAGCCCAAGAGTACCCCAAGACGGCGCCAGAGGCGCCCAAGACGGCCCGAGAGGGCCCCAAGACGGCCCCAAGAGGGAGCCGAGTGGGGTAACACGAACCGAACATCCGAGCCTGCCACCCCGAGAAGCTCTCAGGAAGCCCCAATAGGCCCCCCAATTGATCCAAGATGCCCCCAAGAGGCTCCCCAGAGGGCCGAAGAGGTTCCAAGAGGCCTCCCAAGAAGGCCCGAAGAGGCACTACTCATTGTTTTCCCATCGGTATTTGATGAATTCAGCTTTTCGGCATCCCGACGCTCCAAGACGGCCCAAGAGGCCCCCAAGACCGCTCCAAGATAGCCGAAGAGGCCCCAAAACGGCCCCGAGAGAGGTCCAAGAAGGGGATTGCGAACCCAACAGAAGAGCCCTCCGCCCTAAGAGGCCCGCAAAAGGCCCCCCAAATCCCCAATTGGTCCGACGAGGCCCCCCAAATCCTCCCAAGAGGCTCCAAAAGGCCGCCAGGAGACGTACAAGGGGCCCACAGATAGCCGAATAGTGCCTTCAATGCATCAAAACTGCCGCCAGGAGGCTCCCGGGAGGCTTCTGGATCTCCTCAATGTGGCCCCAGGTGACCTCAAGTCGGGCCAAGACGGCCAATGACGGCTTCAGATTGCAGAACATCACCTTCCGACTGCCCGGAGAACCCCGACGATGCCCCCAAGGGACCTCAAGAAGCCCCAAGACCTTCCCCGAGAAGCACCCAAGAGGTGCCTCCAACAGCCAACCAATTGAGGAAATACGGAGAACCTTCCAGAAACCTTTCAGATGCCCCCACGAAGACCCAAGATGTTCCCAAGAGGCCTTCAGGAGGCACGACTATGTCACGCGCCTGTGCTTGATAGCGCTGTCTAAGATCTTCCAGCGCCCCCCCTGGTCTGGGCTAGAACCTGAGCGCGCGCGCTGCTATATGTACACGTATATATATATATATATATATACACAGTTGTATATATGGTCAGGCACACGTGTATAGTATGTATGTTTACACATCTGTACATGTATTCATACGTACACGGAAGGTCGCGACCCCAGGGCACCTGGCAATGCGGAGCTGGACTCGGGGACCCCAGTTCTCCTCTGATCTCTTTCAGCCCCAGACGACGCGTCGTAGAAGCCCCCAAAGACCCTTCTACAGGACCTCTGGATTACTGTATCAAATGGCGGCAGGTCCCACGACCAACCGTAAGGGAACTCCCGAGTCAACCTGGCAGTGCCCAACGGTAATTTTCGATGATGGATCCTCGGGGGCGACCAGAACCGAAGCGCGCGCGAAGCACGCGCGTGGTTCTAGTATATCTATAGATATACATACACATGCACACATTTATATACACCTGCATATCTACACAGCCATCCATATATATATATATATATGTTTGTATGTCAGCACATGTGTATACACGCCTTTGATCTATTGTATATGTTTGTTTCTATGCATCGTTTATAGTGTTTGCCTTATTTCTTTATCTCCGTCTTGGGGGTGCGTGCACAGTAATGGCTTGGCGTGGTTTGGGTTGCCGTTCTTATCGATCCACATTGTTGTTGCTCTGCAGTCATCCAGGCTCTGAGGTTTTGGCACCGAGTGCAGTCTGTGATCGGTGTCCTTTTAGCCACCTTGACCATCTGTCTGCGTGACGCTGCCGAGCGGCAGTGGTCAGCTGGCCTTGTTGTGCCGCCCGATTGCGACGGGGGGCCGCCGCCCGCGCCGACGAGGCTGGAGGTGACGTGCCGCGAGGCGACCGTCCATCCTTGCATGGTGGAGGAGATTGCCAGTCGTGTGAGGTCCGATGCGTGCGTCTGCGAGCTCAGCTGCGAGTTCAGCGAGCACGACGTCAGGCTCATTGCTTTGACCACGCTGGCCCTGTGTTCGGGCCAGGGCCACCTTTGGGCTATTTCTTTTTGGCCGCTGGACCTGCTCGCGACGCGATGGCGTTCGGCTCTCCACTACGTCCGCCGCCCCTCGAGGACACAGGCAGGCCTCATTCGTTGCTGGAGTTTTCGAGTAGTCTTCGGCCAGGACGGTTGATGGCCGCTGAGTATGCTGGAGAGGATCTGTGGCACAAGCAGGTCTTCATGGGCCCTGGGTTGCGCAGCGCGGAAGGCCTCGACGCCATCTGGTGGATCCTCACGCCCTGCGGTGACCTCTCTGAAAGGGGACTTCCCAGTGGAGGCCGACGAGTTGCTGGTCCAGGCGGGGATGTGCCCGCGCTTCCTGCTGGGCAGGATCTACACGTTCGCGCGCGGCGAGCCCGCGAAGGGCAAGCTGCCTCCGCTAGGAGGCGTGGGCAGTCGGTTCCGTCGTGTGGACGCTGGGGTTGCCCCCGTGGCTGGTGGGAACGTTGCGCCCCCCTTTTGCCGCTGCCGCCCGAGGTGCCCGAGTCGGAGATCGAGGGGCCTCCAGGCGCCCCCAAGGCGGTGGCGCCGTTCTTGGCCGTGTTGCCCGAGCGCCCTGCCTCGCGCGAGGGGCTGGTGTGGTTGATCCCCGAGAACCCCGACAGTTACTTGACCAAAGGTCTGGAGGTGACGCCGCGCGAGGGGATGTGACCATGACCTTGTGGGGCGGCATCGTGCGCAGGCGCAGATGCGGCATGTTCTTGCGCGTGGAGGCGATCGCGAGCGGTGGTTGCGTGAGGTTCGTGGTTGCGTGAGGTTTGTGGAGAGCCTTCGTACGCCGTATGCTTGCGGCGCGGCAGCTGCGGGCTCTTCTGTCCTGCGGACTGGGCCCGATGATGAGGCTCCCTTGCAGGACGATGAGGTTCGCGCGTTCTGGGCCGACTACGACGTGGTTTGCGAGAGCTTCGAGCGTCGGGAGAAGGTCTTTCAGGAGAGCAGGAATGAGCCCATCGCGGCCGTGAATGCTCCTGGGCCTCCCAGGGACATTCCACCTTGCTCGTCACGCGGAGAGGCATGGAGGCGACCCGCGGCGATTGTGGCAGGAATTCGCTAGGATCCGCAACATCTCGAAGGCGGAGCCCGCCTATAACGAGATGACCGCCCCGACGGCGAGTTTCAGGCTGCTCGGAGAGCACGACCAGCGCAGGTTGGGTGCGTCGGCGAGCATCGAGGCGATGGCGTGTATGATGCTGGGCATGATCGACGTTTTCTCGGCGGGTGGCTGGTTGCCCTCGCCGCGCGTGGCGGCCGTGATCGAGAGCGAGACCAGATGCGGGGGCGCCTTCGTGCCCGCCTTGTGGGAGTGGGGGATCAATGGGCTGATGGGGCCAGAACGAGAGTGAGAGTGCTCGGGCGTGCCAGCCGCGGCCTGCGGCAGAGGGCTCTGGCGCTGGAGGCGGCAAGGGGCTGCTGACGGCGGCCGAGGCCGCGGGCGCGGCGTCGCAAGCCGGGGCGGGCGGGGCGATCAGAGCCCCGCAGCCCCGATGGATGGTGGAGTCGGATGACGGGTCGTGGACAGGCCCTCCACGCCACGGCCCGCTAAAGGTGGGGGATTTTCGGGCGCCTGGGCGCCCTCCCCTCTTCCTCGCCTCTTCAAGCAGTTCCCGCTGGCACTTCCTCGGCGAGAACATGCGCCTGCTGATGGCGGTCGGCGTCGCGGGCGCTATCGGGCTCGAGACAACGTCCGACAGTTAGTGGAGGCTTCTTGTAATGCACTTAGTTGGCCGGCAAAGACCGACGCCCGCCGACCGCCTGACGTCCGAGGACGGCCTGCTCATGCCAGCGACGTTGGCGACCCGCCCTGTCGGGAGGCGCCGCCCCGGCTGGATGATAGTTCGGCCCGCCTGGAGGCGCTGGCAGAGCTTCAGGTGCGGGGGGGCGCTCGGGACTCTGACAGGCCGCCAGAAGCGGCCCTTCGGGAACTGCTCGGTGACAGGGCGTCTGGCTACAGGATGGACGCCGTTTCGATTGCGCTCGCGCCGTGCCGGCGAGGTCGGGCCTCCCTGCCTCCTGGAGGGCGCAGGCGAGCGCATGCTGGATCCTACTGCCAGCGGCAGTTTGTATGATGATGCTGAGCGATGCTACGTCGACCCCCAGTTCGCCAGCAGCCTAGCGCTCTACGCCCGTGTCATCTGTGACCTGAAGGCCAGACACAAGCTGGCCTTCGGCGGTTGGACCCACGAGCGATCTGGTCTCTTCTTTCCAAGTTGGAGGACGTCTGCGCGGCTTTCGAGGCGAAGGTCCTTGCCGTGCATGAGGTCGCCATCTCCGACTCGGGCGTCGAGGCGCTCGGCGCGCTGCGTGATGGCCGTCGGCGGCGCGCGAGGCTGACGGCCAGTCGGGGCGGCAGGTGGGGGTCGTCTTGGGCCATGCCACCTTCTGCGGGCTGGCGAGGCGCCAGACGCTGCTGGTGTTCGCGACGGTGTGCCCGCTCATCAGGGAGCACTACGACCAACTTGTCGCCCTGTGGCCGTCCGTTGCCGACGAGCTGAGAGCTTCCGCTGGGCTGATGGTGATGCTGGTCTCGAGCTGGGAGTCCGACTGGGGCCTCCTCAAGTGGCTACGGGCGCTTCGGGGACTGGCTGCGGCATCTGCTCGCGAAGGTTCGACGCCCGCGACGTCGCGATGGTCGGTCGGTGCCGCGAGCGAGACCGCTACCTCGCTGACGACCGCGTCGGGGCCCGCGCCGCGGCCCGGGGGGGAGGCCCGCTGGTGCCCGAGCTTCTGGGCGTCGAGGGCCGTCTTGGGCGTGGCGGCCTCCTGGCTGATCCCGGCTTCGCCGAGGTGCCCAGCTCCATGACGGAGCAGTCCACGTGGTCGGTCGTCGGGGGCTAGAGAGGTTTCGGCTGCCCAAGGACATCATGGCCCTGGAACCCCGCGTGATTCTACGTGGGCTGGAGAGAGTGAGCCGCGCCAGGCTTGGCCGCGACATTCGCCAGCTTCTGTTTGCAGACAACTTGGGGCTCGAACTCGCCGCAGGCAGATGGCGGTGTCGGACCTTCAAAATCCTTGTCGTCTTGCGCAGAATGGCCGCCCGGTGTCTCAGTCGCAACATCCACCTCCCTGTTCGGTGGATCCCGTCGGAGAGGAATCCCGCTGACGCCCGCACTGTCGTTTTCAGCCTCAGTCAGTTTCGGCTGACCTTAGACAGGGCGATGTTGGCCGACCCTGTCCCTTGTGAGCGCGCTCCCCGTGACGCAGTCAAAACCAGTGGAAAAGCGGATGGGGCCCTTGGCCCGGGCGGTGCCGTGTAGATGCGCCCGTTCGGCGTCAATTTTTCCGATTCTGCCCCGAGATTGTAAGTCTTGAGACGCCCGCGGATCTTCCGATCGTCTTTGAAGCCCACGCTCCCGCCTGCGCGCGAGATCTTGGGTTCCGTGAAGTGGGGCCCTGTGTGAATTATCTGCGGGGTCTTCCGAGTGGTTGCGCCTCGCCGTGCCGCCGCGGCCGTCTTGGCTCAAGCCTGCGTCCATGCAGCCGAACCTCTCTACATCAGATGTCAGAGTGCGAGTGCTGGCCTCGCCCCAGGCCGGAGTGGCGCCGACTGGTGGCCCTGGGCGGGGTCGTCGCCCCCGGGATCCGCAGGGCCCGTTCGCTTCGTGGCAGCGCAGTTCCCCGGTGCTGGGGGCCAGGAGCACGTTCGGGGTGAGAGCTTTGGCCCGCCGCGCCAGTCAGCCACGTCTCTCGAACGCCGAGGCGAAGTTTCTGCTGAAGCAGTTGCGGCCGTTGATCAGCTCCGAACCGCGGTTCGCCGAGGACTCGGGCTCCGACGGCGAGGCGTAGGGGCGCCCCGACACGTCGAGGCCCTTGCCCAGTCGCGCGCTCTCCGTCGCGCCGAGGGTGGGCGCTCGCACGCTGCTGCTGGAGTCGCGCAGGGTCCCCGTGATGTCCCGCCGGACCTTGGGGGGGCACGTCGCGGTGATGCCGGTGTTCGAGTCCCAACATGTTCAATGGGTGTACCAGTTCATATGCAGCCTATGTCGTTTCGACATAATCTTGGTCGCTCACTTGATATGGGGCATATGTGTCAGGCCGATCCAGCGAACGGCCCTCGGGCCCGATGGTCTGTGCGTGCCCGGCCAGGTTGCTACCCGCCTGGCCGCCCAGCCCACCTCCCAAGTCGAGGTCGCCCCCTTGAAGGCCGAAAAGCTCAGCATGGGGATCGAGCTAGGCAACGACTTGTGGAGCAGCCTGGTCCCGACATTGGAGGCCGTCGGGTCGTGGCGTCCAGACCGGGTGGTGCGGCGTTTCCCCTGCCTTCAGCTGGCCGCCACCGTGCAGGCGGCGTCAGGGAACCTGGGCTTTGTTCCACCGAGCCATTCACAGCGGCGCCAGCTCCAACATGGCCTCGCGCAAACGCCCGCTGGCGGAGGTCGTGGAACGAGGGGGGCGGAAGTTTAGTCGCTCAGTCGTGCGTTGCGCGAGGAGGGCCCGTCTCAGCTCTACGCGGGCGGCGCGCCCGCCGTGGCTGCGTGCCCTCGTGGTGAAACTCGAAGAGAAATTCGTGGGGATCTCGGGGCGCGGCCTCGCGCTGCCAAAACCCGTTTTGCGCTGGCAGTGAATGGGCGGCGCTTGTTTTCGTTCTGGTCATAGGAAGTCGTTTGCCTTGCAAAGTTGTCGAGTGTGGCTTCCCAGTCAAATTCTTTCAGAATAAACATGTTTCGGATTTGCTCTCCATCAGGCCCCGCTCAGACATGAGGCGTGGCAAAGTCGGAGCTCTGATAATTTCCTTGTGCAGTGCCGTCCCTTCCACAGGCCTAGTTCGGCTGATGTCAGATACTAGCAAGTTGGGGCTGCCAGCGGCGATCAGTTCCTTCAGCTCTAGCAGCAAGTCAGTTATTGCGCGATTTCCCACACTTCAGGCTTTGCAGCTCGTGTCGCATATGTGTAGACAACGTTGTGCCACCGGATTCAGCGTTACCTCTTTAGTCTGTGTCTGACGACGCAACCCGCCTCGGGCTACGATGCCCTGGCGTTAGATCTAGAGACGGCCATGGGAAAAACCATTTCCCACCCGCGCCTGTATGAGTTTATACACCATCATTTCCAAGAGGCCGTTGTTCTCATTGAGCGCCCTGCGGGCGCATTACCATTCGGTGTGAACTAAGGAGCTCCACCGAAGGCACCAGCGGGAGGGTTCGCATGGCATCGCCGCCCCATGTCGGCCCAACCTTCACGCGTGTCGTGGCCCCACAGAGAGCTCAACCGAAGGCCCCAGCGGGAGGGTTCGCATGGCACCGCCGCCCCATTTCGGCACACCCCTCACACGTTTCGCGGCCCCATAGGGAGCTCCACCGGAGGTCCCGGCGGGAGGGTTCGCGTGGCACCGCCGCCTCATTTCGGCACGCCCCGTTCGCATAGCACCGCCGCCCCATTTCGGCTCACCGCTCACACGTTTCGTGGCTACATAGGGAGCTCCACTTGAGGCCCCAGCGGGAAGGTTCGCATGGCACCGCCGCCCCAACACCCCTCACACGTTTCGTGGCCCCATAGGGAACTCCACCGAAGGCACCTGTGGCATGGTTCGCATGGCACCGCCGCCCCATTTCGGCACACCCCTCACACGTTTCGTGGCCTCATACGGAGCTCCACCGAAGGCCCCGGCGGGAGGGTTCGCATGGCACCGCCGCCCCATTTCGCCACACCCCTCACACGTTTCGTGGCCCCATAGGGAGCTCCACCGAAGGCCCCAGCGGGAGGGTTCGCATGGCACCGCCGCCCCATTTCGCCACACCCTTCACACGTTTCATGGCCTCATAGGGAGCTCCACCGAAGGCCCCAGCGGGAGGGTTCGCATGGCACCGCCGCCCCATTTCGGCACACCCCTCACACGTTTCGTGGCCCCATAGGGAGCTCCACCGAAGGCCCCAGTGGGAGGGTTCGCATGGCACCGCCGCCCCAGCCACACCCTTCACACGTTTCGTGGCCCCATACGGAGCTCCACCGAAGGCGGTACTGACAACGACGGCACTTACAAGTGCATATGTTTAGGCACCCCCCACCCAGTGCAGCTTCACCGAAGCAGATATTCACACTTGCGGTACCCACAACTGCATATGGTTGGGCCCTTCGCCAGGATAATTGTTTTCAGCGCCCTGCGGGCGCAATACCTTTCGGTGTGAACAGTTTCGGTTTCGGGGACCTGCGTCGGTTGTGGTTTTAGCGAGAAACGATCGTGCCATCTGCCTCTGTGCCTCGGATCCGAGTCGCTTGGATCAGCGAGCTTAGCAGAGATAGTAGTTCCCCGTTGAAAGCCAAGGGTAAGTCATGGGGGTGCGTGCCCAGTAACGGTTTTGCGTGGTTTGGGTTGTCGGCTTCATCGATCCACACGGTTGTTGCTCTGCAGTCGTCCAGGCTCCCCTCCCTTTAGGGCCGCCTCGGCTCCCCTTCCATCTTTCTCCTTTTTTCCTAGGTGGGGTTGTAGCGAGAGGCGATCGTGCCATCTGCCTTTGTGCCTCGGATCCGAGTCGCTTTGGCCAGCGAGCGTAGCAGAGAGAATAGTTACCCGCTGAAGTCACTCTTTTTCTTCTTCTCTCTCCCTGCCCAGTCCGTTCCGTCTTGGGTCGTGGGAAATCGTTTTCTTGCCCAAGAGGATGAGGAGGGGAGGATGAGCATGAGAATAGGGATGATGATGAGGAGGAGGAGGAATAGGAGGAGGAGGAGGAGGAGGAGGAGGAGGAGGAGGAGGAGGAGGAGGATGGAGAAACTAGAATGGCACACTCAGCGACAGTCATACATCTTTCACATCTGGTTCAGTGGATCCCATGCTTTCACAACTTTCTCTTCTTACCAAGAGAGGTTGGTAAGTCAGACACTAGAAGGGGTTGAAGAGATGCGCGGTAATACAGGGCTCCGAAAACCGCGGTCACCTAGCGATTGATGCGATTCGTATGTCTAATGCGACTTGTTGTACGTCGAGTTCGTGAACGTATACTTGAAGTTCGACGGAACACGGTGCTACGCTCGCACCAGCACCACGACTCCAGCACCGCAGACGATGCTAGCAACGGCATGCGACGCCAACACAACGTCGCCTAGGTTGTCGCCCACCGATATCTTTGTGTGAGTTGAGAATGGCACTGTAGAACAGGGCTCCGAAACACGCCGTGACAAGTGATATCATGATATATGCCATGTTGTCTGAGATGATGGTTGTCCGTTGGGTTCGTAACCTCCTCCGCGAAGCTCGACGGAGCACAGCGCCGTTCAATGCTTCACCAAGATTTGTCAGTATGTTGTCTCGTGTATAGCATATCCTGTCAATTGCGAGTAGAGGCGCGGTACGACAGGGTTTCCAAACGCGTCATGATTTGATTTGGTTCGTCTGTAGATTCGGATGTGTTGTACGTTGAACCCGCGCACTGCTACATGGCGTTCGGCGGAGCACCGCATTACGACGACGCCACCAGCACTACAACGCCCCGCCAGCAAAAGCCGCCACTCGCCCCGAGCGGTGGCGACGGCGGCGACGGCGGCGACGGGCGGCGCCGCCCGCAAAAACAGCCGCTTGCCCCGAGCGGCGGCGACGGCAACGGCGACGGCGACGGCGGCGACGGGCTGCGCTGCCCGCACAAGCCTCCATTCACCCCGAGATGGTTAAGCCAAGTGAGAACCCCTAAGTGCAAACACTGTTAGGGGAAAAGTGGTCCAATTCACCGAGGTTCGGGCGAGTGCCCGCAATGGGGATCTACATGACATGCTCGGCCAAACGCGTCGACCAACTTATTCGTGAAAGGCGTACCATTCTAGAAATACATTACCGTACATCTGCCAACCGGTACGATGACGGCGGCAACGATGCCCTACCACCACCACCACCACCCAAAAACAACATAAGATTATTCTGGCGAAAGACCCAACCATATGCAGTTTTGGGTACCGCAATTGTGCATATCTTCTTTGGTGAAGCTCCCGATGGGGCCACGAAGCGCTGCACTGGGTTGGGGGGGTACGCAACTATATGCACTTGTGAGTGCCGTTGTTGTGAGTACCGCCTTCGGTGGAGCTCCGTATGGGGCCACGAAGCGTGTGAAGGGTGTGGCTGGGGCGGCGGTGCCATGCGAACCCTCCCACTGGGGCCTCAGTTAGAGCTCCCTATGGGGCCACGAAATGTGTGAGGGGTGTGTCGAAATGGGGCGGCGCGGTGCCATGCGAACTCTCCTGCTAGGGCCTTCGGTGGGGCTCCCTATGGGGCCACGAAGCGTGTGAGGGGTGTGCCGAAATGGGGCGGCGGTGCCATGCGAACTTTCCCGCCGGGGCCTTCGGTGGACCATCCTATGGGATCACGAAACGTGTGAGGGGTGTGCCGAAACGGGGCGGCGGTGCCTACGCATCAGGAGCAGCAGCTCCGCGCCCTCCAGGGACCACATCAATCGTTGCCAGGGCCCGCAGACACGTCACTCCAGCAACCTCGTACGATCGGCAATGCTACGTGGAACTCTGAGAAACACCGAGCTACATTACCAAGATGCTAAACGAGTGGACAGGTGCAGCGATGCAGCCGCCGTCAAGGCGCCAGCCCACGCTGCCACCAATGCACTGCGAGCTACCGGCGCTTGCGTCCGTCAACCCCAAGTGGCCGCCAGCGATCGGGGGGCTCTCGCGTATGCCAGTAGAGAACATATATCCATGGTGCCACAGGATACCAGTGATAACCCTGGCCATACGATGCACACCTGCGATGCACATGCCACATCTCCCACCCAAATTAGCGGCATCCCGAAAACATCGACTGAGATCACGTGCGCTGCGATCGGATGCAGCAGCGACTCGAAGAACGACGA